TAGCGATACCGTGGTGTTAGTTTAGTGCCGATCATTGTAATGTAGTCTACTTAGATTCTTTTGACCTGAATTTTCTGAATGTACTACATTGAAAACCGCATATTTCATAAAGCACAAGAGTACATACTCCAGTCAGATCACTAATAGCTTATATGCAATTGTGTTGTAATAAGATGGAACATATCAGCTGGACGAAGTGTCTTGTGTGTCCTTTTTTTTTTTTTTGAACGGGTCTTGTGTGTCCTTAAACCCAGACACCCAGTGAACATTGGAAGTGTGAAACCCAGATGATGGTCATGCTCTGCATCCGATTCATGAGAAATTTGAATATATTCATGGATCTTGATGTCAGTGACACCAACTGTGTGGTAAAATCCAGCTGTCATTGCCATGTGCAAGATGACATGACCTTTCATATTTCCTATGACCTGCCACTCGGGACACTTGTGATCTTGCTTGAAGTCTAATTTAATTAACACTAGGTCACCAATCTGAAGGAATTTCTTATTTATTATGACTTGTGATACTTGTATATTAACAAGAATTGCTAAGATTAGCATCAACCATCAAGACATTTCCTTTCATGACCACATCTGATGTGACTGATTGGTCAGGTGCCAGACGCAATGGATTATCTTTTAGCTGAATTCAACAGAGTTTGCATATACACGGTTCCAAAGCATCTGCATGCTTTAAATGTAAGTCTGCATGGTATGAACTCTGTAATATATTTGGAATTTGTTTATTTCTGACTCTTATATGGGATGCGATGACAAAACACCGCAAGTGATTATCAGCAATGCTCAGAATTATTTCTAATGCATTTTTAACAATTGTATGCAGCAGATTTGTGGACCAAGCTGTGTCATACTGTCACCACTGTTTTATATAAATTTATTGATCTTTGGAAAAAAAAATTCTCATGATATCTGTGATTTTTTAGGCACAAGCACGAACTAGAGATTATTACAAACTGATAGGTTACCAGGAAGAAAATGAACAACTCGAGAGCACTGAAAGTTATCTAACATATGTCGGTGCGTACGTCAAACTGTATGCGGCGATGATTCAGGTATGTGCACTTCTTTTCTGACAGTATTGTTGCGTGCTTGTTTTATACCTTCATCTATCTGAATTGATGGAATTTTCCTAAGATATAAGCCTCTGTCCAGTAGACTGGCCTATTGCAGTAGAACAGAAAGGTGACTCCCTAACTTCATTTACAGACGGAAATCAAAGGTGTCCGTCATCCTCACGGCTTAGCTGAGGGATGGAAATGGCTCGCCATGTTCCTCAATTCTCTCCCAGCTACTACAGCCACTGCCTGTGCCCTTCACGCTTTCCTCAAGGTAGGAATCTGCTTCGAGACCTCCTGTTTGTGTGCCATGTGGTTAATTGGGGTCTTATGCTCTTTCAGATGGCTGGTTTTGCACTTCACAAGAAATATGGATCACAGTTCATGAAGATCCTGGATGTAATATCACGGTGCTTTTTACCAGCCTTGAAAGAACAAGGCAACAAGATGCAGGCTGAGGCTGCCAACAATCTACAGAATTATCTGAACGACAAGATCTACCTGGAGGAACCAGAAGGGCAGTACCTCGTCCAGCAACTACTATCCAAGGAGTTGTTCATGTGAAGATCAAAACACCAGATCGGCATGAGGCATCGTGTGTGATCAGCTGAAGGGCGGTACCTCGTCCAAAGCTACCACTATCGAAAGAGCGGGCAAACGTAGAGATCAAAACACCAGATCGGCATGGAGCTGTTCGTGTTTCAGAAACGCAGTCGAGCCTTGCAGAGGATGTGGCCTGCAAGGAAATCAGCACCAAATCTCACGAGCATTATTTACGGATAGTTTACCAGATCATTTTTTTTTATTCTCCCCTGTTTGTTTATGTGACATGTATCCGGCGGCCAAGAACAGGTAGGATAGGTTGAGGTTTTACCATTTGTTGTACTATATAATACATGTCTGTACCCTATATCGTGGCCAACTCTGCCCACTTGTATCGAGGTCAAATTTTTTAGTCTATATATACACAAAACTTTTTTATTACTATACCTCTCCCAACCCTCTCTCAGTCTCAGGCTCTCAGCAAGCGAAAATCGTCGCCTTGCGCTTTCCACCGCAATCTTTCGAAGGTCTTTGCCATCTCAACAGCTCGAGGCCCCACGGGTTTCGGCTTTCGCCCTGTTCAGGGCATGTTCGGTTGGGCCGGGAATGGCCGGGTCGGGGCCCAACCTCCGTGGATCAGGTCCGCGTGCAAACATTCGCGGCCCACGGTGAAAGGCCTCCAGTGTGTTCTATCCCGGCTCACCCCGTCTTTTCCCGTCAACGCCGTCAGATTCCATCTCCAAGTCGCCGGCTATGGACTTGCCGGCGAGCCGCGGCCGGTGGCGCAGGCGGAGCGCCCGGTCGCACCTGCCACTCGTCGTGGCCGTCCTCGTGCTCCTTCTCCCGGCCTCCCTCCTCTTCTCATCCGCCTACTCCACCATGCTCCGCGCCCTGTTCCCTTTCCCCTCCACCCCCGGCGGCGGCGACACTCCCCGTCCCCGGTGCGGGGGCTCAGCGGAGCTCGAGGGCGAGAGGTTCCTGTGGTACGCGCCGCACAGCGGGTTCAGCAACCAGGTGGGCGAGTTCCGGAACGCAGCGGTGGCTGCCGCGCTGCTGAACCGCACTCTCGTCGTGCCCCCCGTGCTCGACCACCACGCCGTCGTCCTCGGGAGCTGCCCCAAGTTCAGGGTCACCGATCCTGCCTCGCTGCGTGCTGCTGTCTGGGACCACGCCATGCAACTCCTGCTGGACCGGAGGTAAAGACCGCACTTGGCATTCGACTTTACCGACTTTGTTTGGTCTCTGGCGTAGCAGAAATTGCTTGCATTCAAATTTGTTGTACACCTTTTGCTTGCACCTTGCTTATGAGAAATGGCTCAAATGATGGAACAATGTGGCGAGCATATATAATAAATAAAGTACTAAATCAGAATTTGAGCTATTTCAAGCATAGCAGATCACATGGCACCACTCAGTTTCCTTTATTGACGGAAATATGGTAAAATTATTTCCGATTGGTAGGTATAGTGAAGTAGTATTTATATTATGTTGCGCACACCTGGAGTAACCACTTTTCATATTGTGCATAATTGATTTCAAATGTTCATTGTGGACTGTACACATGATAATCGGAAAGACTGATTGCTAATGCTTATTTGTATAACATTCAGGTATGTTTCAATGGGTGACATAGTGGATCTATCCTCAATCAAATCTATGGTTAGGACTATTGACTTCAGGGTTTTTGTCTCCCTGTGGTGCGGTGTAAACATGCAGAAGGCTTGCTTTTCTCGATTGTGCTGTGCTGTTTCTGGCGGTACCTCTATGCCAGATGACTACAATAGATGCCGTTCTTTGCTGTCTGGTCTAGGAGACAGTGAAAAAGGTTGTGTGTATCCTGTACAAGACGACTGTAGAACAACAGTCTGGACATACCGACAGGATGATGATGGGGCCTTAGATCAGTTTCAACCAGATGAAGAATTGAAAAGGAGGAAGAAGATCTCATACGTTCGGAGATGCAGAGATATATACAAGGCTCTAGGGCCTGGTTCACAAGCTGAGGATGCTACCTTGTTGGCATTTGGGACACTCTTCTCAGGACCATACAGGGGATCTGAGTCTTATTTTGATATCCATGAATCGCCTAAGGACCAAAGAATACAGAGGATACTAGATAAGATTGAGTTTCTTCCTTTTGCCCTGGAGATCATGGCTGCAGGGAAGGAATTTGCTAAGAACAACATCAAGGAGCCCTTTCTTTGTGCACAACTTAGGTTGCTAGACGGACAATTCAAAAATCACTGGAGAGCTACATTCTCTGCCCTCAAGGAGAAGTTGAAAGCTGTTGAGTTAGAAATGAAGAGAAACAAGACTAGTGGCCTTATTCACATGTTCATCATGACTGATCTTCCACCAGCAAACTGGACCAACACCTTCCTTGCAAATGTTGCAACAGATGAGCGATATAAATTGTACACGCTTAAGGAAAGTGATGAGTTAGTGCTACAAACTGCAGAAAAGCTTATGGCTGCAGAACATGGTGTTCGGTCTGGATTCCTTCCAAAAATCATAGAGAGCACGAAGAAAGATTGCGACCCTGTTCAACTGCCAGAAATTTTGTTGTCTATTGAAGAATCTGTTTGTAGCTGTGCGTCACTAGGATTTGTGGGGACTGCTGGATCAACCATAGCAGGAAGCATTGAAACAATGAGGAAGAACAATGTCTGCAAATTGTAGGAAAATAACACCCATTAAGGAACCTGAAAACCATCGCTGATTGATGTGTTATAGCAATGTGGGAGCCAACACGATAGAGGCTGAAGCATCATACGTTTTGCTTCCACCAGTTCAAGAGTTGGTTTTGCTGACGTGTTCAATTGACAGTAGAGTGTTGAGCATCACATGGGAAAATACATTATGTTATGAAGAGAATGTGCACCATTTTTTTCTAACTGTACAGAAAGATCAGGTTCATGCTTGTGTTACCTGAATCATTTTTTAGCAGCTAAGTCTTTTTCTCCCCTCAGTTTTTTAGTCTACAATTATTTTCCTGTTCGTAGGGTATCCTGTATCTCCATACTTCTGAGTTTTGACTTCTGAGGGTAGTGATAGCTTTTGAAAAAAGAATATTGTCTCTATTGGGAATGCCGAATGTCACTCGTTTCTGATTGTATATCCATGACCCTGTTTCCTGGACAGTAGGAACCACTACTATACTACAATGGGGGAAAAGAAGCTTGGATTTATTTGTATTTCTGAGTTTGGCATGTTGGTTGAGAATAATACAACTTCTGTATCTTGGAACGTATAGTGTAGATGTTACCTAACCGAACAACATTTGGGGGGCAGGGATTAAATCCCCAAAGGGATTAAACCCTCACAGGGTTCAAGTGACATTAGGGGATTAACTCAATCCCTTCCTGGTTGGGGGTACTAAACCATGTGCAGCGAACAAGCCCTCAAGGTGCTCGAAGTGGGGAAGCTCAACAGGGTCAAGGTGACTGACTGCCGCTGCGGTTTTTAAGTCTCGTTTTGATTGGGTTTGTTAAATTTGGTCTGTTCCGTGCCTGTTTACTGAAGCACTGTGTCTTTGCATTCTTGTTTGCAGGGTCTATGGAAGGAGTTTCTCTTAACCTTATTAAGAGGACAACCGGTTATTTGTGTTTCCAGAGTCCTAGTTGCTTTGAAAGAACAAGGCAACAAGTTGCAGGCTGAGGGTGTCAACAATCTACAGAATTACCTGGAGGAACCAGAAGGGCAGTACCTCATCCAGCAACTAGTATCGAAGGAGTTGTTCATGTAAAGATCAAAACACCAGATCCCCATAAGCCATCGTGTGTGATCGGCTGAGGGGCAGTACCTCATCCAGCAACTACTATCGAAGGAGTTGTTCATGTAAAGATCAAAACACCAGATCCCCAAAAGCCATCGTGTGTGACCTGCAAGGAAATCAGCACCATATCTCCCGAGCATTATTTATGGATAGTCTACCAGATAGTTTCTTTCCCTTCTGTACGGACCCTGACACTGTATTCGGTTATGTTATGTGACATGTATCCGGCCAAGAACAGATAGGATAGGTTGAGGTTTCACAGTTTGTTGTATGTCTATACCCTGTACCGTGGCCAACTCTGCCCGTCTGTATCGAGGCCAATTTTTTTGAGAAATGGTCTAAACAATGCTAGAGATTTAGAGTTCTGGGAACAGACCAGTCGCAAAAGTTATAGATCTTGTTCAAACTTACGTCCGCCCTCAAGCACGTGGGGCCCGCCTGCGTCAGTGGGGACCGCCTCTGCCTTCCCACACCTGACACTGAGGCGAGACAGCGGAAAGGCGAAAAGGGAGATGCAACACTCGATCTAGTTTTAAAACATCCAGATGCAATAATTACAACATACGTTTGAAAACAAATAAAACATTTGAAACATACGTTTGAAACACTTGCAAAAACACCTGAAAAACACTTGAAACTATTATAAACATATGCAACATCTAGATAAAACACTTGCATCATATGTGTGAAAACATATGCAACATCCAAATAAACACACTTGTAACATACGTCAGAAAAAAACAGATGAAACATTGAGAACAGGAGCTTGCAACATACGTGTACAACCATTGCAACATGTGCAACATCCCGATCTACTTTTGCAACATACCTCTGAAACATTTGAAACAAACGTTTGCAACATACATTTTTCACCCTTCTTCCGTACGACGCAACGCATAGTGGGGGATGGCCGGTTCCGGCCAGCCGGTAGACGAGGATGGTGGCGCGGCCTAGCAGCGACTAGTTGCGCCTGCGCCTGCCCTGGGCCTGGCAAGCAATGCCCCTTCTCTTGGCCGCCTAACTTGGGCGCAGCGAAGGATGGAGCACGGCGGGGGACGAGGCGCCGCTGCACTCGTCGAGCACGCGCATGGAGGTGGAGGGCGAGATCGCTGGCGACCGGTCTGGCGGCAGCTGCAGTCGGTGGGGCTGCTGGCAGCGTACCTCACACGGAGGATTCCTCCTCTCCGCAGGAGACAGAGGTGTCGCGGGGTGGGTGCGCAGCGGGGATGGCGATGATGGCGTGCTAGAGTGGGCGGCAACGCGGGATGGAGGCAGTGGCGCGACAGATTAGGGCGGTCGGACGATCGCACGGCGCCGTGAAGCCGCGACGCACGAGCGCGGAGTGGGGAACGAGCTTCCGTGGGGATTTGATTTTTTAAGGCGAGTGGCGCAAGCGATAGTGAGTGGAGAGAGGCGTCTGGCCTTTTGGACGTCTTAATGGTAGCATTACCGCCTAAAAAACAAAATCAACTCCCGCACGCCTCGCTCTGCTCCGCTCCGCTCCCGCCCTTACCTCTTCCGCGCTCCTCATTCCTGCAACAGCACACCAACGCCCCGCGTCCTCACCCACCGGGAGCCCCCAATGCTCGCAGATCCGGCAGCCTTCTGCCCCACCCCGGCGAGATCCATGGAGGCGGCGTGACGGTGTTGCAGGGGAGTGGGCGGCTCTCCTCCACCTCGGCGCAGCGCCCTCCCCACCCCCGGTGGCGCCCTCTGTCACCCAGGTGACCGAGCTCCCCCACCCCGGCGGCCATGGCGCTCCTCGCCCCGCATCCCCCACCGTCGCCGCCGAGCTAAGCTCAGTACTGGTGGCGCTGGTGCTTGTGTGCCGCCGCTTGCCGCCGGCTCCGACCCTGACGGTTGAATCGACCAGCCTAGGTTTTCCCCTCCCCTATGTTGTAAATGTATGTTTCAGGTGTTTCAGTCGTTTCAAAGGTATGTTGCATTTGTTTTTAGATGTTGCAAAAGTAGATCGGGAGATGCTGTATATGTCGTATATGTTACAAGTGTTTCAGAAGCATGTTGCAAGCGTTTGTTCAAAATGTTTCATCTGTTTCCAGACATATGTTGCAATCGTTTTTTATCTGGATGTTGCATATGTTTTCACACATATGTTGCAACAGTATGTTCCAAATATTTTAGCTGTTTCAGTCTTATGTTGCAGTAAGTGTTTTTTCATGTTGCAATTGTGTTTATCTGGATGTTGCATATGTTTCACACATGTTGCTAGCGTATGTCCCAAATATTTCATCTGTTTCAAATATATGTTGCAATGTGTGTTTCATGTTGCAAACACAGACTGCCGGCATTGGTGTCCATGAGGGCGGACAGGGCCAAGCTACGGCCACCGACGTGTGGAGGAGGCGCAGGCGTCGCCAGTGGTGTGGAGAGGAGGCACAAGCCGCGCGGTGCTGTTATGGAAGAGGCAGGGCGAGTCTTTCGGGCGGCCTGGAAGAGACGGGCGTCGCACCGGTGTGGGAGAGGCGGGGGCGAGTTATCCGAGCAGCGTGGGCAGCGGATCTGAAGTGGGCGGTTCGGATGCGAGCACAGGAAACGGAGTTGGCGCGGACGGCGCGCGAATCCGAGCAGATGGGACGGGGCGGAGCGGACGCGGGCGTCCGAACGGACGCATGTGTCCGGACGTCCGGGTGCTAGTGCTACCGATCGTCTTACAATTCAAAAAATAGTGTATATCTAGATATATAACAAAACGTATAAATCTAAACATACTAAAACGTCTTATAATTTACCAAATCGTCTTATAATTCGAAATGGAGGTTATTATAATTCGGAATGGAGTGAGTAATTTAGAACCAACGAAGTAGGTAGCGCGCGAGAATGAGATGACCTACGAAAATTTGGTCTCGGATGGATACAAATGCTATAGGTTTTGCGCGCGCGCGCGCGCGCCTGTCCTTTCCCGCCCGACACCGCCGCACATCCCGCCCATCTCGCCCCGCGCGATAGCTGCTCCGCCGCCCGCCCGCGCCTGGGTCACTGTGGGTGTTGCCAACCACCCCAGCCCTTCCCCTCTCTGCCACCGTCACGGTGCGCTCTCCTCTCCCACGAGTTCGTCAGGCTGCATGCTAAGGTAAGACGAATCGCCCCGACATATCAATGGATTCATTCATCAATCTATTCCACGGCGCAACACCCCCGGTGAATCCCGTGATAGAGCACCTGAAAGGGTACCTTGCACTTAGGTTACGGCATTTCCTTGTGTTTTGATTGGATTGGGATCACACATACGAGTCTGTGTTCCTGTCGGACTGGCAAAGCAAAAGCATACTGGCTTGTCTTCCTACCTAGTAGTGTGATGGCAACTGTCTGTCTGGAACAGGATGGGCACCATCAATTGTTTCTAGTTTGATTTGGACATTCTGTTTTCACCGGGCATTTTTGTGTTCCATGATTCTGTTGTTAAAATGCTTAGGATATTGAACAAGATTGCATAAAAGCACATCGTTCATGTATTAGGCAGTTTGAATCACATTGTACCGACAGTCTGATATTGTGGTACTTAGCCTGTTAGCCATGGCCCATGGGTCCATGGCAATGGGCAGAATGAATTTATTCTTTGTCCATGTCTCAATGGTACATGTTCTGGCTTTCCATATTCTCCGTCTTGCTTGCTGATTGAGAGAAGGGCGTCTTGCTTGCTGATAGAGAGAAGAAAAATGACAACTTAATATTCACTAGTAGTGTGAACTATGCATATTTGTTCTTTTTATTGATAAAGTATTTGCAAGGTATTGCTGAGCACATAGTTTATCCATCAACCATGCCTTAGTTTGTATGTGTTGGGATGATTTTATTTTACCATAAGAACCCTTTTCACAAGCTGTGTTCAGTGAGGTGATTCTGATGTTTGCCTTCTGAGCTTCTTCAACTTGTAATATTTGGAGTGTAACATCACATATACTTTGCAGTGCTATAAGGGCATATCATTCCAATTCTCACATCAGTTGCTTAATTATTTTCCAGTTTATCAGATGAGCAGTGAAAGTACCCCTCAATTGCTACTTTGTTCTTATTGAATTTTGTTGATTGTGCAGATGAGCTCGCTCTTAAAGTTGTTTTTTGAAGACTCTTCGTCAGATGATGATGATGAGTTTGAGATGATGATACTATCTTTGTTTGCTGCCACTATAAGCAACAAGAGGTCCAAACATTGTGGTTCTCTGCGAAGGCATGCTTTGGTTTGTCGGAAAAAGTCCAGACATGCTAAGCTTATGGAGGATCAGTCACAATTACTCACACGCAGAGACCAATCCAGCCACTGCCACCTAGCTGCCTCTTCGAGGGTTAGTTCAAGAAGACGCCAGATCGGTTTTGCAAAAGAGTGTGTCACCGAGATGCCACGCGCACTGCTGGACTGCCGCCCGTGCAAGCGGCCGCGGCTGGGGTGGGACGTCGGCCCTGCTGAGATGCATCAGGTATAACCCTCAGTTACCTTTTCCTTTATCGATCAGCGGTAGTTGGCATTGTTTCTTTGCTCCCTGGAGGTGCCAATTTTCCATTCACATGCATTTATTGGTGTTCTTCCAGCCAGGGTTAGGTGGCGGATCTATTGAATTCAAATAGCAGTACTTGTTGCCGTAGATTCAATCATTGTGGTGTCGATACATTTACCTGAATTTGTGTAGAAATTGAAATGGATTGGATGAACTGTAACAGAAATTTGCACAGTTTGGCGTAGAAACTTGTCCATAGTCGTGTATGTCATTGTGATATGTAATAATGTAAATTGGCAAATTGTGTTTTTTTGTTTGCAATGATTGATTTGTTTGTGCAATTGATAAAAATTTTCCTTATCTTTGCAGTTTTTGGCAATTTTGTCCATAGAAAAGTATGTCAATTTGCTTATAGTTTTTGCAACTTGTAGATGGCCTTCTCCGACGATGATGATATCCTTGACCAATGGTTGGAGCAAGAGGAGTCCGATGATGTTGACTACTACACTGCAGCTGCTCTTCTAGCCGACGTGGAGCGTGAGAGGAACAAGAAACACTGTGATTCAGTCCCAGGTCGCCAGGTAGTTGCATGGAACACGTTTGGGCAGCTTTTTGCGTGGAACTGTTTATGATTTATCTAATGTTTTGAGATAAGTAACACACTTCCCCTTTCTAAATTGCTGTTGTAGAAACTGGCTGTAGCAGGATGAAGTAGTGATTTGGTGGCTTGATGAGCTCAGTTAGATGGATAATTTGTTGATTCTCTTTTGCAGGTTCAGATAGGCCTTTGTGAGCAAGAAGTTGTAAATGCCATCAGTGCTGTGGAGTTGGGCTTCTCTTCGGATGCTATTGTTTCCTCTCCTGTGAACCAAGAGCAGCCTCGTGATGAGTCCCCTCCACTGAGAGAAGATGACAAATATGGGCGTTATGTTTTTGCTGTTGGAGATAACCTCACATCTCGCTGTAATTACCTACTTCATACTACCCCTTTTGCAATTGGCTAGTTCATTTTATTACCATGATTTGGTTTTTCGATGCACATACTAGTTTCTATGGTTGGTTCTTATGGATTCTTTTTCATGTTTGCAGATAGGATCAATGCAAAAATGGGCCAAGGTCAGTTTGGATGGATGCATCTTCTGAAACCTTTGATGCATAACTCTTTCATTGTATTGGGGATGCTGCAATTGTTGATGCAGCAGATTATGTTCATAACTGAATGTCTCTGGAATACATCAGGTACCTTTGGTCAGGTGTTGGAGTGCTGGGACAGGGAAAGGAAAGAAATGGTGGCTATCAAGATCACCAGAGGCACTAAAACGTACAGGGATACTGCAATGATAGAAATTGGCATGCTTGAGCAGCTTGGTAAATATGATAAAAGTAGATCCAGGTGAGTCATTTGGTTCAGTTAGCACCTTTCTGTGTGCTCTACATTCGTAAGATTGCTTGTGTATATAAGTTGTTCTATTTTGCAGTTGTGTTCAAATACGGAACTGGTTTGATTATCGTAACCATATCTGCATTGTAAGTTCATTGTTAGATTATTGCAATTATGAACTGACTCAAAGAGATAATCGGGTGGTGCTTAAACTTTGGCGAATTTGGATGAATGGTGAGCAGGTCTTTGAGAAGCTTGGACCAAGCTTATGTGATTTTCTGCGGAAAAACAATTACCGCTCATTCCCAATTGCCCTTGTTCGGGAGGTTGCCAAACAACTGTTGGAATGTGTAGCATGTGTGTGCACAGTTCTCTCTGTTACCACTCAGCACTACCATGCATACAATAGTATCAAGCATTATCTTTGATGCATTACAGCGTTTCATTAATCCATAACTTCTGTTTATTCTATGTTTCATGGTTCTTTAAGGAATATATACTAATGTCTATGGGATGTTTATATATTTACCCTCTCTAATGTGTTGCCGTTATGCATGAATTGCGCCTCATACACACTGATTTAAAGCCTGAGAACATTCTTCTTGTTTCTCCAGAGTGCATTAAAGTGCCCAATTACAAAGTATACTTTGTTCTTTTACTTGATTGACCTAGCCATGATTTACCTTTTGCTGTGCCATTTTATTTCTGGTGTATTGGCTGTTGAAGTTTGAAAAAGAGATGCTACTGATCCCTTTCTCTAATTGTTAGGCTTCATTCTGATCCCCAAAGGAGGGAACCTATTATAAGTGGTTGCCCAAGTCCAACGCTATCAAGGTGATTGATTTCGGTAGCACTGCCTATGATCAACAGGATCAGAGTTATGTGGTATCCACTAGGCATTATCGGGCTCCAGAAGTTATATTGGGTATCTGTCTTATCCAGTGAAAATTTTCCAAGTTCAGCCTGATTTCGGTGACTTTCTATAACTGCATGGATCTTCTGTTCAGGGCTTGGATGGAGTTACCCATGTGATATCTGGAGTGTTGGTTGTATTCTTGTTGAGCTTTGCACGGTACGTATAGGGCCTCATTTTGATTTTCCATGCACCACAAGTACAGGGGATCTGAGTTAGCTAAGTTTTACAGGGAGAGGCATTATTCCAGACTGGTGAAAACTTGGAACATCTGGCTATGATGGAGAGGGTGTTTGGACCTTTGCCATACCATATGCTTAAGATGGCAGAGTATGTTCATGTCTATGGTTCATATCAATGTAGTCTGTCTGAGCTTCAGTGTTTGACTGTTTGTGAGGTCTGGTACTCTGGTCGATGTTTGGTGCTCATTAACCCTTTGTTTGTAGTCGCCACTCTGCAAAATACATCAAAGAAGGACATCTGAATTGGCCTGGGGGCTGCACTTCATGGGAGCGCATGAAAGCTGTGACAAAATTGCCCAGGCTTCAGGTATGTCTTCACTAGACAAAGCGTCCATTTTAGTCTGCGGTGTGTGAATTTATGTATACGTTTCATGAGCAGAGCCTGGTGATGCGTAATGTGGATCAGTCTGCCGGGGATATCATTGACCTTTTGCAAGGGCTGCTCAAGTATGATCCAGCAAATCGCTTGACAGCACAGGAGGCGCTGAGGCATCCCTTCACAGAAGAGTTTTGAGTGAAGAACTGAAGATATTACTTGCAGCCTCATCGTTGGTTGTTTAATACTTAACTTACTGTTTTAGAAATTCCGCCGGCCTCTTTTGTTTGTAACACAGAGCATCTATACGGAAGCTGAAATGAAATTGTTTCAATCTTGTTTGGTTGAAACAGTGTCTCAACTGATGAAGTTGTAACACAAGGGAAGTCAAATATGAGTTGAGCACATATTATCCCTTGTCTAGGTTTGAAGTTTGGTTTGAGCAAAACATGAGTTGGCACCAGAAAATTCATGCCATACCGATTGGTTCATGTTTTAAATCACATCGTATATTAATTCTCCTTTGGTCCCGGAACAAATGCAATTGTCATGTTTTAGTATTTTAAGTTTGACTAATTATAGATAAAAAAGTATCAATATTTGTGATATCAAATACCATTAGATTAATTAACATGAGCCACTTTAGGTCTTGTTTGGATGCATGTGTATTCATTTGAATACAAGTGGGTTGAGATGGATATATGCGCATACAAACAAAGCCTTAACTGACACGCAACTTATAGTTGCATTCTTTTTGAGATAGAGGTAGTATTGCACAAGTTACTGAGCAATACAAAAATCGTTGGATTGAGGACTTATGAATTGCAAATCGTTGGATTGAGGACTTATGAATTGCAAAGGTTCAAATTAGATTCCATGTGGGATGCAACGCAGTTATTTTGTCTGGTTCGCCAAAAAAAAAATCATCGTGAAAACTGAAATCAGAACAAATTAACTTTATGTTACCATTTGCACAAATGAAGGAGCGCAGGTCCGCACGGGGATATGTCCAATCCAAAGGAAGGAATATGTGTTCATGGCGATTCACATCGGCCTCGGCTCTAGTCAATTTCCAACAAAGCATTGGCTGATATAAGTGAGAAAAACTCACCAGTCACCACTGAGACTGGCCTGTACACAGGGCAACTGAGATAAGTGAGAGAAAATCTCCATTGAAACTGCCCTTGCTGTTGATATAGCGGTCATTGTACAGAGGTGGGCATTGGCTGATACATCACACAATGCATCAGCCAAGCAGGAGACACAAGATTACATTGGTTATATACACAGATATCATCTTGTTTTCTTGTCTTCTTTCTCCTTCTCCACCACCACTGGAGCTGCAGGTATGCTGAACCACAACTCTCTCAACCTTCTGGTACACCTTTCTGTGCTTGCTCTTCGTAGTGGCGACTGGTTCGTGGATACCTCCAGAAACAACACCAGCAGCAAAACTCTTGTGGGCACGATGGCAAGGCTCAGGGCCATCAGTACCAATGCCAGAATAGCTCTGTCCGTCGCCTATGATATGAGAATCACAAAATGAAATATCGAAAGAGACCTTATTATGCATACAGGTTATAGCATTTGGCAGAAAACTTGACAGGAACAAGTAACGGAGCTGACAACGCACATGGCTTCAGAAAACCAGACCTGTCCAGCTGTTGGTAGGGAAAATTCAGGAGGTTTAATAGGGCAATGAATGACTGTTCATAGGACAGATCCAGCTTGTGGCAAATGAATGATTGTTTATACGTAAGGTAGATCCAGCTTGTGGTAATGAATGACTGTTTATGCGTAAGATAAATCCAGTTAAGGACAATCAGAAAACTCTCAAACGCACTCAACCAGGTCCTTGGGTAAGACAGGTCCAGCTTGCAATAATTTGAGCTCAATCAGGTCCAGTTATGGGTGCTTGAAGGGTATCACCTAAATCAGCAGAGCTGACTTGATTTTATTTATTTATTTTGAAAGTGACTTGATATGATTAACTTGGAGGTTAGGTTCCATAGACATGTCGGAACAAATATTTAACTATAAAAGAGGACCAAACCCAGGGAAGCTCTACTTTTAAGCTGTTTAGGGGAGATAGCTGAACCACAATTATTCATTTCTGAAAAAAAACCTCCAACCAAGATACAAAGCCTTGACCTCTCAAGTCTCAACTAATGAAGCACCAATTAGACTTGTCATGTTTTGTAGCACACGTTGACACATTAAAGCCATTCCAGCAACCAAATCAAATTACTAGATTCCCAAATATGGGTCCAGAAAATGAACACATGTTCCAAGTAATGATTAATTTTTTTCTTTTGAACACAACCAGAGACCAAAGAGAAGAGAGAGAGGTGACAGGCAGATAGAAAAATTGGGTAAGACTATCTAGCCAAGCCAAAAGCCATGACTTAGATTATAGAAGTATCTCTCATTATAAGGTCTGAAGGAGCACATCACCAGAGCAGCCTTTCTTCGAAGAAGGTCGCCATAAAGCTACCACATAACAAAAACAGATTGCAATAATTTTAGCATCAGAATAGTAAATTTGACACCAGAGTCAGTCAGTCATTCAGACCAATGCAAATACTTTAATGACCAAAGAACTCTAAATTTCATTTATTTTCTCAGGTAATAATTCCATGAAGCATTGCATATGATATAATGATAACATAGCACGGATTACTTTATTCTCACTGCTACTGTGAATCTGTTAAGACCGCTGCTACTGCCTCTGAGGTTGTAGTCGTGTGACGTGGGAGGGCGAGGCTTGGTCTCTCCTCGGCGGCGGGCGTGCGACGCCGTACTGGCGGCCGGCGTCGAACGCAGGAACAGAGGAGAGGGGCGAGGCTAACAGCACGGGAGAGATTGATATCAATCTCCAGCTGCCCTTTCATTAAACACATGTTTAGGCTATATAGCCAAGTGTTCCACAATTCACTAACTGACTAACAAACTTTATCTAACTAACAAATGCAAATCTGAGATCCTAAACTTGAGGAACTGAAGCCGCTCTGGCCGTGGTCACCATGCAGCCGCATGCATGTTACGCGCGTTGCACGCCGCTCCGCTGCCTCCTTAGCCACGGCTCCGCTTGCGGCGCTGGTAGACGCGGCCCACCATAACAGAATCATAGTGTAGTTTGGGGTTTCATTTGCACTTGCACAATGTATGTCACTGTTAGAGCAAATAGGGATAGTATCACATTGTCTACCCACGTGGAGTGTTAGTCTTATGTAGCCTATATAATCAGCCCATGAGGCCTAATGCAAAACAAAGAATATTCCACCAATTCTATTCCTCTGACATGGTATCACGAGTCTAGGTCACCGCCAGCTTCTGCATCACGCACCCTCAGGGAGAGCAATCTCAACAGGGGGCAGCGCCACCCCTTTAGGCGCCGGATCCTATTGATCCCGCTGCCTTCCAGCGTCCTCCACGGCGAGGGTGACGACCGCTGCCATCCAGCGTCCTCCATGGCGAGGGTGATGAGGTGGCCGCGAGAAGGCCCGATCTGCTGCTTGACGACGACGAGGATGGCAGCGGGATCACTTGGATCCGGTGCCTAAAGGGGTGGCGCTGCCCCCGGCGGAGATCGATCTCTCCCCAGGGGCGCGCGGTGCGAAAGCTGCGGCGGCTAGGGTTAGGATCTAAACCTAGACTCATGATACCATGAAGGAGAATAGAATTGGCGGAATATATTCACAGTATAGCATTCCTCAAAACAAAACTATATAATAAAAGAATTCCTCAGAATGATGGAGTGAGGACTAATATAATTACCTGGGATGGAAAAGCCAACAGTAGAGCTCTTATCTTCAGAAGAACAATATTTGCATCCTGGACGAGCTCCTCAATTTTAGAAATGGCATTTTGAACAGCTAGGAGCTGCTCCATTGTGTTCAATGGAGGTGGGGATACCACCTTTACCTCACTCATTTGCTTTCCTTGATTAGTTAATCTTGTGAGAAACATAAAAGTTGCTGAAAACAATAGCACCATGACAATAAAATAGACTATCCACCCCCTGTGCCAGCAAAGAAACATAGACACATCACAAATGTGGAGAAATCTAAGGAGAATTGATGACTTGTAGCAAATTATGAGCTATTAGCAAATCTAATTAAGATTAATATATCTGAGAATTTAAATATACAGTTCAGATTACTAGTATAAAACTACATTATCCCTTTGGTAGCTTCATACAGAATGTACGAGTGCTAAACCAACTGAAGAGTTCGATTACTGCCAATCAAGCATAGTTACCATACTCGCTTTATTGTGATATGCTTCTAAAGTCTTTTTTTTTTTAAACTTGCTTCTAAAGTCTAAATGGCTCTTTTTTCCCCCAAAGAATAGAGTGCTAACAAAGAAACTGAAACAAAACTGCTTTGTGCTAAGGAAATCAGGATTAGTAATTAAGAAGAGACAAACAACAATCTTCACCTTCTCTAGTGTCCACATTCCATTGACCTAGAAGGATCAGTATCAATGGCGAACTGTCAAATTTGACAAAATGTTTTAAAATTGCTCTTGGCTGAACACACTATTGGACTATCATTGGGCCAGTAATATTAACCAGCTACATCCTTCACATTCATCAGCTCTGGTACACATTACTAAAACTATAGTACAAGTTGTCACTAAAGTACCTATAAGGAAATAGATTGGTCCCAGACCCAACAAAGAAATGAGATGAGAGTGCGCACATGCTCATGTGCACATGTGTATCTAGATGTTATTTCTTTCATATGATTCGGAGGACCTCAAATTAACCAGACAGTGATTTAGTTCCTTCTCACCAGCCATAAGTATTGGTTTCCATTTCAAATAAATGAAGCTTCTACAATAACCACCAAAGGTCATTGTGATTACAAGGGCAGAATAATAGAGATAAAAAAATGACTTGAATTCAATGTTGGTTCACCTTCTGGCACCATCAATATACCAAGTACAAAGAAAAGGTGCTCTGTGAACCACAGCCAGCCACAGATTCTCCAAATAACAATAATTGCTAGCAGTCACATAAGTTTATTTTAATAGGCCCATTGTTGCATGAGCTACTTTCTTAGAATCTTAGTTATTATTACATCCCAACATGAACTTCCCTCGTACATAAAATGGCCAATACTTGCTACTATGGCAAAAGCAGCATCTCTAACATAAACATAGCAGAAGAATATCCATGGAGAAAGTAGGATACCTGATGATAATGCAAGAGAATACAAAGCAAAACACCATGGACTTCATAGGCTCGTCCCATGATGTGAGCAAAAGCAAAACCCTCCAAAGCTCACTTACTGGGGATAACAATTCCTGAACACGTTTAGGAATTAAATAAAAGAAACAGGAAACAGAATGAAATGAGAGCCTGCTTTACAGGAACAGAGCAGGTGACAACACGACACAATCTAAAGTAAATAACTGAAAGGCGAAAAGGATTGTCTATGTTTTTTTAGTTTACCTTCATGACAGCTAAGTTTGTATCAAGCCCATCAACTTTGACTCCATCAACCGAGGCTTGGGCGAGTTCAACCTTCTTATAGTTGTTCATTGAGTCAGTAACAGCCTTCTGCAAGGCACTAATTTCCCCAACAACTATCTCACCAACAAACAATTTCTCACCACTATTAACTGGTGATACCACACCCAGGTTTGACAGGACAGCATGCATTCCTCTACTTGTGCCAGGTTGGTTAGTTCGATCTGAAGTCCTTGATGATATAGAACTGGCTAATGTTTCAAGTATTACATCACCTCCAGGAAGTTTGTCACATAAATTGAACATCAAAAGAGATTCATGTCGATTTGGAACTTCAAAATGTAACTCTTCAATGGCTTGTAACCGCAGAATACCAAGTACTGCTTTCAGAACTGTTTCCTCTTTGTCAACTCCACTTTTATCAAACTTCCTAATAAATCTATGGGCATAAAGTACTTCTGATATAATGGCCAGCCAATAATCTCGGCGGGAATGGCCAGCCAACTCCGGAAATTCTATGATCACAGGTTCTGTTCTGCATGCACAATAGGAATATACACAAGCCGTGACTATCTCAAAGACCAGTGCAAACCGGCTGAATCATATTGCCAACAAGTTCTAATATAACAAAGTTTCTGGATCACAAATGGCGATGATCCATAAGTTAAAACTAACAATAAAAAGACCATTGAAAAAAGACAAGATACATGTAGCTTATGTAATATTGCTTTCTTATGTGTTAAGAACTTACAAGGTTGTTGATTTGTACATAACGGCTTTGTCAAAGAGACGTGAACCCCATGGACCAGTCAGCTCAGGTTTAACGACCTGCTTTAAATCTTCTGCAAGCTCATAAACTTTGGGCTTATCATAGGTAACAACCCGAAGGGCTTCGAAGTAAAGAGCATGATCTGTGAGTATTAATCTTCCTGCATTAGGAGGGTCAAATCAGTGATATAAGAATACAGAAAGGCAAATACATGTGATTTCACTAATAAGTAAATAAACATGACACCAACTTGATCATCTCCATCAATGAACCACGCATACCTGGCCATGTTGAAATACCCACATGTTCAAGTACTGGTTGTGTTGTCAATGTCCCATCAACTTCCAGAATCCTTTCTCCTCTCTGAGACCGAAAGTTTGATAGAAGTGCCGACTCAGATTGTGTCTTCATCTTTTTAACCGCTCTATATGAGATAAACACATATGCTAAGTGCTGCCTTTAGCAAACAAGATACAACAGAAATTTATATGTAATTATAAATATTCATAGGATAATAAACATGCCAGAGAACTTTATTCCACCATTAATAATTGTAGACAGATTTCCCCATGCATTTGTTTTGAAGGTCCTACTTTAAAAGGAGAGTAAAGTGAGTAATGGATCAACTGACAATTTAAGATTGTAAAGGATTTATAATTATCATCCACATGAGCATATGCATATGGATCAACACTTCCATGTTCTCTGACCGATGGATAACTGGGGCTTGTAGGTTAAGGTTACAGACAGTCAACAACTATGTAACCCTAACCCTCTTCCTACCATTGTAACTTAGTAGAAGGATCTAAGTCCATTCTTATATCAAGGTCTGTACCATGGTACATCTATGCATAATCTCCAACAGAGGTGGCATGTACCATCATATATTTATGGTACCACTACAAAATACATGGCAACAGTATGCACCCTTCATCAATAGTGTGAGTTTTAGCCAATAAAAACGTGAGCTCAATAAACAAAATACGAATTTCATAACAGTATCTAGGATTAAGTAGTGTTTTGTTGTTATTGCATTTCAATACCTCATGACGACTTTACATTAGTAACTAACAAGCATTCTTACCCAGGTACAGACACAACTTTGCTCTTTCAACAGAACCAAAAGTAAACAAAACTTATCAGTGGCCAAGTATTCAAGCTAGTTAATGTGTATATGATTATAGTAGTAAAGAAAGTTGACCTGTCCAATTCTGAAAGGTACTTCTCATATACAGAAAATGAAAGACGGCCTCCGGTCGAACATGAAAGTACATCGAAGAGATTTGCACAAGTTACTACATCAGCAATGATTGGGATGGCAGGTGCTATTCTTGTAAAAGCTTCTAAGCTAACTGTGCTATCTACCTCAACCTGCAAAGCGGGGGGATGAAATTTAATACAACAAAAGGTACTAATATAAATCCTTGACATAACATAGAACTTGTGAGTGATGATGGAATGTTAACCAATTCTGTAACAGAACCAAGCAGTACCTTAACAGTGAGCTGGCTTGAAGAAGAGGGAACCTCCCAAGCTAACATCATGTCAAAAGATAAGCGGCGAAAGCTTTTGTCAGCAAGATACCCTGTGAGTTGTGATATCTGAGCAAGTGCCATGAAGCAGCAATACTCCAAAAAGTTTCTTGCGTAGCTTCTTGGCTGCTTTATGGAATCAGATGCTTGCTTATCAAAGTTATTTCGCAGATCATTGATAGAAACGCCAAGGATTCTGAAAGATATTTGGAACAAAAAAGAAATTGATCAACAATTAATGCAAGCAGATACATTGTATTAAAAAGAAATGTTGACTATATAAGATAACAGTTTAAATAAAAATAAAGATGAGCATATCTATGCCTGATTAATCACGAATTCGCGATACACAGGCGATGAGCTAAAGAACTAACTCTCATGATGCTTCCATGAAGCATGAGATGCTTGACAGGTTCCCAATCAAGATAAAACAACTATCTGCGGACCTATAAGTGGAGGTAAACTATATTCAAATTCAAATACACACCAACAACATTTTTTTCTCAACTGTTAAGGGAATTTCAACCTAAATGTGGCACGAATTGGCATTTTGCAGACTAGTATGTAAAAAGAAAAGGTAAAAGCATTCATATCAGGTCAATTTCTCGAGCATGGTGTTGAGTTAGATAGCAGAATGGAGATTAGAGTCCATATCATTTCTTCCCTTGTTGCAACCAGTTGCTAGTGCCAAACTGTAAATCAAAATCCATTTCAGGTCCAACGCTAACTCATAGCCCAACAGCACATGCTGATCCTATGCCCTTGTCACTCCTTTAATCAGTATCCATGCAGTTGAGTTACAAATACAAATGCACAACATAGCACTAGTTCCTGCTGAAGCTAAATGGTGTCTGCTCCAACATGTGTGGTGTACAGGTTGGTTTGGTCAGTAAGATGTAAGGGTTTAACTAATCAGAAGAATAACGATTCCTCAAAAGATTTTCAGAGAACTGACACCCCTGTACATTCCTTTCGCCCAGACATAGCAGTAGCAACAACCAATTCTGCTAGGAAGAACAAGGTTGGGTTTTACTGATGATCAATTTCCACATTTGAGCATCCACAGGAGCTTGCAGCGCGAGATTCTCTTGAACACATTAACGAAGCAAGGAACAATCTGCATCCTATAGTCCGCAAGAGCATTTCCTTTTCCCGAGACACAGGAGAGGAAGGGCGAAGCGCATCAAGCTCGGTCTCGGCCATTACCTGGAGCAGCGGGCGACGACGGCGTTGGCCTTGAAGGAGAGGCCTGCGATGGAGGAGCGCTGCACGGAGAGGGAGCCGTCGTCGTCGTCGCCGTCGTCCAGGGCCGTGTCCCCGCGGCGGGGGAGGCCCCACTTGAACGACCCATCCCGCACCAGCCCCTCGAACCCCTCCATCAGCAGATCCCGCGTCCAGCTCATCATCGCCATCCTGGAGTGGGGAGGCGACGGATCCGCCGGGGCCAGAGACGGTTGGCCGCAGTGCGGCGGGGCTTTGATCGCGTACGGGCTGACGATAGCAGAGACTGCAAGGGTTGCTGACGGGGGAGGAAGAGATTGGGGCGGGCGATGGAGGGGGGCTCCGTGCTCAAACCCTGATCCTTATCGCCGTCGTCGTCCTCATCTCTGACACGTGCGTGGCCGTGGGTGTCGCCATGTCGGAAGGATGGCTTGCGGAGGACTCTAGTTGGGTGAATTTGGATTCGTTCGTTTTTATTAAGCAAATAGTGTTTAAATATGGACTAATTAGGCTCAAAACGTTCGTCTCGTAATTTTCCACCAAACTGTGCAATTAGTTTTTATTTTCGTCTACATTTAATAATCTATGCACAGGCCACAAACATTCGATGTGACAGGTACTGTAGCAACTTTTTAGACTTTGGGATCCAACTAAACACGACATGGCAAACGGGGCAAATAACCAACACGTTGGTGGGCACTGTCCTATTTCTCTCACCCATGCGTTTTTCGGGAGAAGAAAAGTTAGGGCCATGCCATGTTTAGTTCCTCCAATCTCCTAAATTTGGCACTATATACTTGCAGTACATGCATAAAGTACTGAGACCTTGTTTAGCAGGGCTTTATTTTACTAGTGAAGCCATTTTTTTTTGGCTTTAGCTCCACGAACAGTTTCACCGGTGGAGCTGAAGCGGTTTTGATAAACCGTTTGGCAAAATGGCTTCTCTGTGAGAGCATGTTTTTAGGAGCCTGGAGGAGGAGCCGGGAGAAGCCATTTTTTTTTGCTCCATCCCACCCCAAATCATTGTGAAAGCATGTTTTTAGGGGCTTCACCAGTGAAGCTATTTCACTTTACCCCGTTTGGCAGAAAACGGCTCCAAACGACTCCTGAAGTTGGTGGAGAAGCCCTGCCAAACGGGACCTAAATGTTGACGAAATCAAAAACTAATTGTACGGTTTGGTTGTACTTTGCGAGACGAACGTTTTGAGCATAATTAGTCAACGATTGGATAATTATTACCAAATACAAACAAAACGTTACAGTGCACTACGGTGTATCCAACTTCGACCGGAACTAAACGCACCCCAGGATAATAAGCCGACAAGGTGCATTCAAATCTGATGCGTCGTACTAAACTAAAATAATCAAACCTCAAAATATCCTGAAATAAGGAGAGAGAGAGAGAGAGGAGGAAACAAAAAATTTGTATCTCTCTTGCGTTAGACAATTTATACCGTCTCTTCAACGATGACACTAAGCAAGGTCATGTAATGAATTTCACTGTGGCGAAAAAAAACATCATTGAACAACTCCCTTGCCTATGCCAAGTGTTTAAACACATATTCCGAGAGAAGCGTGAAATGGACCCGTTCAAGGTCCGAACTTTGGTCCTTTTATTTATTATCATTATCCATTAACTCTCTTATTCTTGAATTGTTGTGAGAGAAAAACATTGTTCCAGCTGAAAAAACAAGCCGAACAAGCCAAACTTTAAGACAAGCGAACGGTGCCAATGTCCCGAATGCTTCCAAGTCCCTAAGTATCTTCCTCCCTCTCCACTATAAACACTATTTATTATCATTATCCATTAACTCTAAATTATACGTTGTCAACAATGAAGCCCTGTAGTAACATGATAAATCATATCCATGATCGTTCTGATCAAACCGAGTTAACATTGTATACCTAGTCATGAACTTTATAGCATTGTAGAAGTTCGAATGATTGATGGAGAGGTTTGAGAAGCTAACACATACACGCAAAAGGCTATACCTAGTCATGAGTATGCGCCAGTCTACAGTCACAACAACTTGCCATCACTCCTCTATCCACAGCAACTTGATCTTAGCTACACATAACTCCTCTATCATGGGTCTCACTTTTAAGGCTAATATTGTCGTCATTCATTCTCCAAGTAATTGCCGAAACCAAGCTTGATTCTCTCTCTCTCTCTCTCTCTCTCTCTCTCAGCATATACAATGCAACGTGCTTAGACGCGTATGCTTAAAAAGATAATGTGTTATTATGTCATTTAAAAACTTATATAGAAGACAACTATAGATGCAGAAGGTGCTTAAGTATGCTTAGCCATCCTGTCAGTACACATTAAGTGGTGCAGATTGGAGCACCTTATCCACCTTCTAAGCACCAGGTGCAAACGCACGTGGTCAAAGAAACAATTTTTAATCATGTACACCATCCAAGGGCGGCACCAGTGTAGGCAGCACCTAATGTTAGTCTCGGTACAAAGTTGTACTCCACGTAGACTAAAATGAGCTAAGTTTCTCAACTTTTACATGCTCTTCCATACCACAACGCAGCGATATGTTGCTGCTTCAATTTTCATGAGGGCAAGCCACCGCTTCCTCTCCCAGAGAATCTAACACCCTATGAAGCTAATATTCCTGATGATTTAAATACTTTAACACATGTTGATTGAGATGAATACATACGCATCCAAATAAAGCCTAAGGTGGATCGTTAGGCACGGCCTACGCATCTCCATTGTAGATGATCTTATGTTCCACTAAAAGGGAAATTCTCAGATTGCATGAAATGTATTTTCATTCATCCATGTTGATTCAAAAAAATCTCGCAATGCAAGTTTCCGTGGATTCTCTTATGTGGAATTGGGTCATCACGAAAACACAACCTCGTTTTGGCGGAATTGTTCCTTGCTACTTCTCCCGTGTGTAAACGAAAGGTATGTCGACAGAGGTGGCAATTCTCTCAAAACATTTTTGACAAATTGTTATTCTAGGAAATTAAAACCTAAATCATAGTACTCCCTCAATTCAAAATTTTAAGACGTTTTGGCAAATTGTTACCAGAAAACGAGAGGATGCGTCCCAAAGCACACCCAATAAAACCTCATTCCTGTGGTGATACGGATCGTTACACACAAGACGACCTTCGGCAATAGTTAAGTCAGCGGAGCACGGCAGACTCCTCAAGTTAGCTGAACCAACTAAGCGCAGATACAGGTCTAGCAGAATCATGGTTTGGGTTCTAAACGATAGTCACACAGTGTCTATCGTCTGCTCAAAAGCAAAACACGATCAGTTAGATAGAACTGACATATAACGTAGCCACCACTCTGCCTCAATATGGCGTCAAGGCAGCAAGCCTGCGCGGAGGAGTCCTAGATCTTGGGCGTGATGGCCTGTGACAAACATAAGAAAACGATCAGTACGTCGACCCACACAACCATAATTATTTTATGATTCAAGTGAAAAATGCCACCATACTGGAATTGCATTTGCAAAACAAATGAGCTTCAAAAATAGCAGTAGAAATAATAAGAAGTGTGTTCCAGAATATTTATGATGCAAGAATATCATGGCGTGGCACTATTGGGATAAGTATTTTAGACATGATGTAGATCATGCAATGCAGATACATAGCCAAGAGAAAAAGAAAATTTACGCCAGTGGGCTAATGGAGCAAATGAAAACAACCCATTAGCATTAACACCATACCTTGCACTCTTGAAATTCTGTATAGGACCTCTGCTGAATGCCCAATCAACATAGATAGTTTTCGTGAACAGCTGGCTCCCGCTCATCGCTCTGATCGCAGCTTGTGCTTCCTCAAAGCTTTCGTATTCAATCAGCGCATATCCCTGTCACCCAGCAGAATCCAGGTGAGGGCAGTGGGGCAAATAAAAGTGCATACGAGAAACTGAACAGAAAGTTACTGGGTTTAAACTGTGTAAAACAATTTGCCAAATCTGAATGTCTATACAACTGAATCGTCAGTGATTCAAAATAATGCTTCCACATGGACACACCAATTTGCTAGGAACGAATGGGCTTGCACGTAGCAATACACAAATTTACTTGATATCAACATATAAGCTCCCAAGACTATGATTCATTAGGTGGATGCCATCATCGCTAGATTATTTCAGCAAGGTGGTCACAGAAGGGAGGAAATACCGTTTAGCCAAATGAGTGCGTAGACTAAACTTAAATGGGCTCTGCCTAAAGATTGCCAAAACAAATAGGAGTCCACTAAGCAAATGATTTTGACAAGTTTACCAAATCTAAATTTACATCTGAAGGATGCCACTTGTACTTAATGAGCCAACTGTGACAAGTTTACCAAGCCTAAATTTATATGGCTGAAGGATGCCACTTGTACTTAATGAGCATTGTTTCTTATCAATATCTCAAATTTCCTTTACTCTGTTAAAGGCCCCTAAGGAAAAAAAACTGCTAGTAAAGAAAACGTTTGGCAATGATGATCATAAGACAAGATGTATGAATGCCTAGATCACTTTGTGCAGAATGAACTACATACATCAGGGCCTTGGTACAATCAATTTAACAGAACATATCTTAAACAGAATAGAACTTTAGTCAGAAACAATTGAGCTTTTATGTGAACCTCATGGAAGTCTATATTCGGAACAAATAATGAGCATCATTTGTTTTTAGCCTCTCAGAGTAAAGCTATCAAATTAACCTTGGCATATCCAGTGCGGCGTTCTAGATTGAGATGCAAGTCCTTGACATGACCAAATTCACTGAAAGCATTGTAAAGATCATCTTCTTCAGCGTCTTCTTTAACTCCAGAAACAAGAATTGTCCAGCCTTCGATAGCTACAGATGAATAAAGTTCTCAGTTAACACAAGAGGTAAAGCGATCATCGAACAATAGACATATGAGAAATACATCACTACTGCACCAAAAAAGAAACAACGACCATAAACCAAAAGCAGTGTAACCACATATATTTGCATATAACAGAAGTATAGAAAGCAGCGCAAAGCAACAAGCAGACCTGCAGTTATTTTTTCTGACTTATTATGTTATTCATACATGTTTGCCAAGTATGGGTAAACTGATGTGCAAATCAAGACATTTTTCATGGTTTTGCAAAACACAATATGTAGTAAATACTAAATGATGTTGCTAAGGGATATCAAACAAGCAGCGCAATACAGAAATTGTATCATGCTAATATGCTATTTGTGCAACTATATTGCTCTGCCTAATAAAAAAATCTAATGACTAAGACATCCCTTTTCTGCACTCATACTGATTACTTGTTGTACGGTAATGGGACATATTTGAGCTATAAAGTGCATTACTCTGCTTGTTGCTACAACACTTAAAGTGTGTAAGAAAGCAGTGACAAACACACATTCACGTAACACCTACTATAAATGAGTAAATCTGACCAGTTATTTAAAATAGGATAATATCAGGCTGCGTTTATGAGAAACAATCCACAACAAACAAATGGGGTGGAGGCCAACCAAAAAGAGGGCATGCGTCATTCTATTCCTGCCTCGTGCAAATGAAACTACTCTCTCTGACAGTTCAAACCTCGCAGTGTAATTGTTCACTAGGTTGTTCCATTTATTTTAACCCTCTGGCCCTGTATTACCTTGCCAAATCATTCTCCTATACTTGATAAACCACGGACACATAAAAGGGCAAGGGCATATGTCCTTTAGTTCAGAGTCACCACATTGTTTTTATATGATCCATAAGCATCATAGCCTAATTGCAGCATTTTAGTTTGATGGCTCTAAAAAATCCAAACCCTTTTTGAACAACTTGAACTCCCTGTCAAACATTGTGATCGCAATCAAACTAGTGATCATCAAGTTAATCCTTGCTGCAAACAACTGGCATTGAGTATGCATTCCAGCAAACATAATGAAGTCATTCTGAATTTGCTGTATTTACATTATCCATCAAAAGGGCAGATGCATCATTCTGCAGTTCCCCTCAATATTACTACCAATATATGTTGCTGGTGCTGAATAAATTAGTTAACATAGTGCAGTCACTGTTCTCCCATATTCAATCCAGGGGATGAAAACGGTACTGCCCCCCCCCCAAAAAAAAAAAAAACGGCCACCAAACCTACAGAAAGATCATCTAATATAATATAAGTATTTCCTTGACCTCTGTGTGCCCTATAAAGTTACTCCTTGCTGCAAACAGCTGCCATTTTTTTCCTGCCATTGAACATGAATTCCAGCAAACATAATGAAGTCACTATGAATTTGCATTATCCATCAAAAGGACAGATGCATCATTCAACAGCCTCCCTAATTCTGACTACCAATGTAGTTAATAAGCCCTGCTTCCTAAGCAATTCCTAGATAACTATGCTAGTTAATTACAGTCATTAAAGACCTTGGGCAGCCCAAGAGGTGTGTACGGCTGCCAAGGCACCTATCTGATTAGCTATGCTCTAGTGAGCTGTTTATAATCAATGCAATGTCTATCTCTATATATAATCAAGGAGACAGCCTGGGGTGTGTGGCTGTTCAGGCTAATCAAGTCTGTGTTTGTTATGTGCGGCAAAGTCTATAGACGCCGTAGTGGCTAGACTCAACCGTGTGCCGACCTGGGGGGGGATTACCAGGTCACCAGGGGGCGCACAGGGTTGGGTTAGTTCGGATTCATAGTCATTAGGGTTTGGTTAGTTGAGATTAAAGAGTCCTAAAAGATAGGGATAGTTGGTTAGGTTGAGTCCTATATGTATCAAACTCTATGGATCAATAAAGGGTTAGCCTAGGGTTGAGTTTATCTCACCTTGGTTCCCTGGGCGTTCATCGCTCACGATCCACCTCTTGCCGCAAAGTCTTGACCAGCGCCCGAGCACGGCGCCGCCACATCGTCGAGGCTTCAAGCCCAGGGCCTCGCACCTTCCACTCCTACAACCTTGATCCCTAAGCCAAACAACTTTGGTATCGACCATATGCTGCTCTCCTGGCGGCTTCCGCTTACCCATACCGCCTCCTCCTCCGCCGCCAACCCATCATCACCACGCCCATCAACTCCGCCGCCATAGTTACCATGATGGCGCCCATTGTCTCGGCGATGCGAAAGCTGGCCGGATTTCTCCCCCGCCGACCTTGCCCAGGCGTTCAACGGGATGACCACGCCATGGGCACGCTAAGGCGCCAAGTCGCGAAGTTGTCGCTGCGGCGTGTCTGCAATTGAAAGCCCGCCCTCCTCCTCCACTTTTTTCAATGGGCTGCCAGCTATGGTGGTCTCCCTCCACGAGACCGGTGCGGAGCTGCCGTTCTCTTCACCGCTCCTCGATCACCACGACAACACAGATGGCGACGGGTGCGGCCGGCGGCGGATGGCGGCAACCGACGTCACAAGGCGTGCCGATCACGGAGATCTCCTTTCGCCGTCCCCCTCACCAAGACGTCCCCTGTCCCGAGATCATGCACGGTTCTGGATCACATGCACCAATGCAGTCGACAACATCGATGCATCACCGCCTTCGTGACCACGAAATCGGTGCCGCGCTACCTGGTCGACGTTTCCGTGCTATGATGGGGCGGAAGATCCGTTGGGATGGTTGCTCAAGTGCGAGCAGTTCTTTAGAGGACAGCAAACCCGGGCCGTCGATTGGGTGTGGCTCGCATCCTTCCACATGACCGGCAAGGCCCAGATGTGGTATACCGTTCTCGAGCGGGACGCCGGGCGACCGACATGGGATGATTTCAGTCGGCTTTGTCAGCAGCGGTTCGGCCCTCCCCTCAGCACCAACCATCTCGCGGATTTGGCAAGGCTGCCGTTCTCGTCGAATGTTGAAGCTTATCTGGACGCTTTCCAGGCCAGATTAGCGCATGCAGGCCGCCTCTCGCCGTACCAGCAAGCACAGTTATTCACCGGTGGACTGCCAGATCATATCCGTGTGGATGTCGAGCTCCACGATCCGCAAGACCTGCAGCAGGCGATGCGCTTGGCACGCGCATATGAACGCCGGAACGGCCCTCAACAGCTGGCTCTACCGGCGCCACCGGCGCGCCCTGGCCGCCGTGTCTTCACCGCTGCCACGGCGTCGCCCTCAGTATCAGCCGTGGGGCCGACCACCTCAGGGCCATCTACGCGGGCATTCAAGAAGTTATCACCGGAGGAGATGGCGGAGCGCCGCAAGCAAGGCCTCTGTTACAATTGTGATGAGCAGTATGTCCGTGGCCACAAGTGTGCCCGCCTATTCTATTTGGAGGCCTCGGATTACATTGTGGAGGAGCCGGAGGACAGCGAGGAGTCAGGCCAATCCACAACAGCGACAGCAGAACCGCCCCCGATCAACACCGAAGCTCCGCGGATCTCGCTTAATGCCATCACCGGCATTCGAACAGCCACAACGATGCAGCTCTACGTTCAGGTCGGGACTACACAGCTTGTTGCTCTCCTGGATTCCGGGTCTACGCATAACTTCGTGCGCGCGGACATCACGCGCCGCATTGGCCTCCACTTCCAGCCATGCCCCGGTGCAAGCGTCCTCGTCGCGAACGGAGACCGCGTCGCGTGCAGCGGCCTAGCCACAGACGTCGCCATCAGAATTGCCGATGAAACGTTCACGGTGGACTGCTATTCTATTCCGCTGGATGGCTACGACATGGTCCTCGGCATCAAGTTCCTTCGCACATTGGGGCCCATCTTGTGGGATTTCGACGACCTATGTCTGGCTTTCACAAGGGCAGGTCAACGTGTCTTCTGGAGAGGGATCGGCTCCACAAGATATGACGTTCAGTCGACACGCCTCCATGCTGTACAACCAGACGGGCCGGCCCTGTTACAGACCCTCCTGCAGGAGTTCGACGACATCTTTGTGGAGCCAAAAGGACTGCCGTCGGCTCGACGTTGTGATCACCACATCCACTTATTGCCAAACCAAAGCTTTGTAGCGATCCGTAACGTATGAGATACCCGCAACTTCGAAGGACGAGCCGGAGACCCAGTCTTTGCCATGCTCTGACGAGGAGGATTATCCGTACCGTCAACTTCGGCGTTCTCGGCTCAGATGTTGTTGGTCAAGAAGCCGGATGCCTCCTGGCGCTTCGTGTTGACTACCGGGCTCTGAACGCGCGCACGGTTAAGGACAAGTTCCCCATCCCAGTTGTGGAGGAGCTGCTCGACGAACTTGGCGGCGCACGGTTCTTTACAAAGTTGGATCTTCGTTCCGGTTACCACCAGGTCCGGATGCATCAAGATGACATCGAGAAGACGGCGTTCAGAACACACCATGGACACTTCGAGTTTCTGGTCATGCCATTCGGCCTCACCAATGCGCCGGCAACATTTCAGAGCCTAATGAATGCCGCCCCACCTCCAGCCCGTTCTGCGTAAGTTTGTCTTGGTTTTCTTCGATGATATCTTGATCTACAACAAAGACATCTCCAAAGAGTAAAAGCGGTCCTGTTAGCGCTTCGTGAGCACCAATTGCCGCTCATCAAAGCGCAGAAAATGCTCATTCGCCGAGTCCTCGGTGACATATCTCGAGCATGTGATCTCAAATGACGGTGTGGCCATGGACATCACCAAGGTGGAGGCCGTAAACATGGTCATAATCGCGATCGGCGCGGCCTGCCTCGCGATTCCTCGGTTTGGCCGGCTACTACCGCAGGTTCATCAAGGATTACGGCGCCATCGCGGCACCCCTAACCAGGCTACTTCGGCGCGACGCGTTCTCCTGGTCGGATGAGGCTATGCTGGCGTTTGACTACCTCAAACGAGCACTGTCTACAGCGCCGGTGCTGCAGCTGCCGGCATTTGACCGGCCCTTTACGGTGGACTGTGATGCGTCGGGAACGGGATTCGGCGCTGTTCTTCA